TACATTTTGGTACAAGTGTTTCAACTTGAGCTTTAGAAGATGTTTTGTTTGGAATCGGGAATTCACTTCGATTTGTTCTATTTAACAGGTTCTCGACGAAACAAATTGGACCACTGGGTATGGGCATGATCGCTGATAATGCGACCAGGCAACAAGGCCCCAAACCCATATTAAACCTGACGTTTAAGAAGTGCTACATCGCACTATTACTTTCTTACTCACAAAAATACGTGTATGCCGTTATTTGGCCACATCGTTATGTATAGCCGAACACGCTTTCTACATGGAAACATGCACAGCGCGTCGGGGAAGAAACATACAGAGGAGAAAACGCGAAATTACTGGTCGCGGTGTGTTGACGCGAATGGGTATGGGCATGATCGCTGATAATGCGACCAGGTAACAAGGTCCCAAACCCATATTAAACCTGACGTTTAAAAAGTGCTACATCGCACTATTACTTTCTTACTCACAAAAATACGTGTATGCCGTTATTTGGCCACATCGTTATGTATATAAAGCCTAACACGCTTTCTACATGGAAACATGCACAGCGCGTCGGGGAAGAAACATACAGAGGAGAAAACGCGAAATTACTGGTCGCGGTGTGTTGACGCGAATGGGTATGGGCATGATCGCTGATAATGCGACCAGGTAACAAGGCCCCAAACCCATATTAAACCTGACGTTTAAAAAGTGCTACATCGCACTATTACTTTTTACTCACAAAAATACGTGTATGCCGTTATTTGGCCACATTGTTATGTATATAAAGCCTAACACGCTTTCTACATGGAAACATGCACAGCGCGTCGGGGAAGAAACATACAGAGGAGAAAACGCGAAATTACTGGTCGCGGTGTGTTGACGCGAATGGGGAAGGAAGGTAGTCCATATCAGACAACACGTCGCGACCAGTCATTGCGCTCCTTTTCCTAAAAAAAAATAATTACCATGGCTTTATTACACCTCACACACATTATTAATAATAATATCATTGTAAGCATCGTGATTGAGTTTACTTAAAAGGGCGTTCTTTTATGCCGATTATTATTATTTGTTTCCTAGTACAGAGCACAAAATGTGCTATGTATCCCTGCACGCGCGACGTAAGTATTATGTATCGCTAAACAGCCGAGACAGTACATGTATATACCTAGATTGGCTACTTTGGTCTCCTAACTAGGCAACGTACAGCGACCGCCGCTCAGATTGCTGCTGGTCCCACACTTACGTAAGCCCTAACAACAAATTGTTATACCCGGCCTGGGGGCATATCCACGGACTTATGAAAATATAAGTAAATCTGTATAACCTGTAATAAAAAAAAATAATATTGGATTATATGTATGTAGGCCTATACACGGACACCTATACACGGAGTATACACACACCCAAGTGTGTATGCCTGCAACTGGGGACGCCCTATTTTCCCTCTTTTGTTTGTACTAACTTCTTTAGAGAGACCCACCATATGTTTTGTACATATCGCCAAATGGGGACCTTCATGAATTGGGGACCCTGTTGTCCTCTTTTATTCAACGTCCCCTAGTGAATGCAGAAACAAACTCGTTACAAAACCATGCATATCGCAAAATGAATATTTTTGAACTGTACAAATACCCTATAGGAATCTTTATGTTTAAATTCGAAGGTAAACTACTACCTACAAATATCAGGTCCATGTTGGTGAGGAGTCTAGATGTCCATTTACATAACACAAAATCAGCCAAAAAAAAATTCACATTGGCAAAGCTAGGACCGCATCATTCATGAAAACAGTTAGACACCAAGGCCCCCTTCTCTGGAATCAGATTACCCCTATACCCTTCTTTCGGACTGTGCATAAATTCAAAAGATATCTAAAGCTATTTACTTAATTCCAGTATTATATAAGACGTGCACCCATAATTCACATTTGTATAAGTCACATTCCTTCATAATCAAATGTTATATTGTAAATCAGTACATGTATATTTCAATTTCCTTCAGTTTTTCTACTATTATGTCAAGTAATTAATTAATTAATTTATTTATTGACCACTGATTTAGATCATAACTTAAATTGTTGTTTATTTCATAAGTTATTCACAAACGGGACCAGGCTCCGTATAAGCTTAGGCTTTTTTTCCTGGTTCCCCCATCTGTCACCATTTATGTTTTAATTGATCAAAGTGTTGTTCAAGTATTAGAATTCTATTAAGTTTAGTTATTGTTGTAGTAAATAAACTGTTGCATTAGCATTATATTAATTTGTGACAAAAATGAAAATAAACCAATACGCATTTTAATGGCTTCATCAACTTAGTGCAACTTTAGATAGCGGGGTTTGCATAGAGCTGGAGCAATACAGGAATATGAATAACGTTTTCTTTACTTTTCTCAAATTTTGAATAAATATGTTCTTTGCTGCATGATTATATAGACGATTTATAATTTACTCGGTTGCCAGACATAAACAACTTATAAATAGTACACATATTTCACAACACCGATGACAAAACACTTTCTTTCAAACCATTTTCCCCCACCTGTTATAAACCTACATAATGTTTTCCAGTAAGGAATGTACGAATGACACTGGTGAATCCATGCAAGGTATATTAATCATCGGCAATGCAAGCATTATCCCACTCACGCTGACAAAATTGATTGCCCAAAAAAGTAGCTCCGCCCCCTCCCCACTCCGCTCGCCCCTTCACACGCTATATCCGCCAACGTATTGAAAGGACCCGCAACATTGCTTCGTTTGAACTCCTCATGGCGTTCATTTGAAAATTAGAAATGAAAACTAGTCCACATCAAATTTTAAATTACTACGGAAATTTAAAATATATCATTAATCCAGGAAACAACCAAGGATGCACTTCACTTTGTTTTGCACTTTCTTCAATGGTAAAAAGAAAGGGAAACACATAATTGCAGTTGCAAATTTCCAACATGAAGAGCCAAAAACAATTACGTTCTGGTACAAGTGTTTCAACTTGAGCTTTAGAAGGAAAAAAAACGTTTTGGCATCGGGAATTAACTTCGATTGTTTCTATCAAACAGGTTCTCGACGAAACATATTGGACCACCATCGTTATTTTAGAAAAAGGTTTCCTCATATTCAAAATGCAAAATTGGACAATAAAAATAGTGTTTCAGTCTTGACAAAAGTTAGACGCATTATTTTGGTAGCTGAATGCCTGTGTGTGATCTGTGATTCTCACTCAGCTCAATATCTTCAAATGGCATTCCGTATATTGATGTAAAACTGGATTCATTCAGAAAAAAACACGATACTAATAATAATGAAAATTTATAAAGCGCTTATATCCACCTATCGGGAATTTACTTCGATTTGTTCTATCTAACAGGTTCTCGACGAAACAAATTGGACCACTGGGTATGGGCATGATCGCTGATAATGTGACCAGGTAACAAGGCCCCAAACCCATATTAAACCTGACGTTTAAGAAGTGCTACATCGCACTATTACTTTCTAATAGTAACACAAATACGTGTATGCTGTTATTTGGCCACATTGTAATGTATAGCCGAACACGCTTTCTTCATAAAAAAACATGCGCAACGCGAAATTACTGGTCGCGGTGTGTTGACGCGAATGGGGAAGGAAGGTAGTCCATATCAGACAGCACGTCGCGACCAGTCATTGCGCTCCTTTTCCTAAAAAAAAATATAAAAAAAATATTACCATGGCTTTATTATACCTCACACACATTATTTGTTTCCTAGTGCAGGCCTATATATGCTTCGTATCCCTGCACGCGCGACGTAAGTATTATGTATCGCTAAACAGCCGAGGCAGTACATGTATATACCTAGATTGGCTACTTTGGTCTCCTAACTAAGCAACCTACAGCGACCGCCGCTCAGATCCCACACTCACGTAAGCCCTAACAACAAACTGTTATACCCGGCCTGGGGGCATATCCACGGAATTATGAAAATATAGGTAAACGTGTATAACCTGTAATAATAAAAAAATTGGAATATATGTATGTAGGCCGATACACGGACACCTATACACGGAGTATACACATGCCTGCAATAGGGGACCCCCTATTGTCCCTCGTTTGTTTGTACTAAACTTTTAGGAAGACCTACCATATGTGTTGTACATATCGCCGGATGGGGACCTTCAGGAATTGGGGACCCTATTGTCCTCTTTTGTTCAACGTCCCCTTTTGAATGCAGAAACAAACTCATTCAAAACAATGCATATACGCATTTTACTGGCTTCATCAAAGTGCAGCTTTAGATAACGGGGTTTGCATAGAGCTGGAGCAATACACGAATATGAATAATGTTTACTTTTCTCAAATGTTGATCAAATATGTTCCTTACTGCATGATTAAACAGACGGTGTATAATCTTACTCTATTGCCTGGACATAAATAGCTAATAGATGTTACACATATTTCACAACCACGATGACAAAACACATTCTTTCAAACCATTTTCCAAGCTGTTGTAAACCTACATACTGTTTACCAGTAAAGGTATATTAATCATCTGCAATGCAAGCATTATCCCACTCACGCTGACAAAATTGATTGCCCAGAAAAGTAACTTTGCCCCTCCCCACTCCGCTCGCCCCTTCACGCGCTACATCCGCCAACGTATTGAAAGAACCCGCAACATTACTTCGTTTGAACTCCTCATGGCGTTCATTTGACAATTTATTAGAAATGAAAAATAGTCCACACCAAATTTTTATAATTACTACGGAAATTTAAAATGTATATTTAATCCAGGATAGAACCAAGGATGCACTTAACGGATTTTTTTTGCACTTTCCTCAATGGTAAAAAGAAAGGGAAACACATGATTACAGTGGCACTTTTCCAAAATGAAGAGCCAAAAAAACAAAAAAAACAATTACATTCTGGTACAAGTGTTTCAACTTGAGCTTTAGAAGATGTTTTGTTTGGCAGGGGGAATTAACTTCAAATGATTCTATCGAACAGGTTCTCGACGAAACATTGTGGACCGAAATTGCTTATATGAGGTGGAGTTTCTGAGTTTTCTCTATTAGAGGCTTGGCTTTGGGTGTCGTTGCTGCTGTTCCGTCGCTACACCAGTTCCTACCAATTTCCACGAAGACTCTGTTATCGCCATCATGAACCGATTCATAGCTTTGCTGCTGATCTGCGCTTTTGCAGTTGCCATTGCAGGTGAGTTACCTCGTACCTCTTCCGAGCCTTTCGTGTGATCAGCAAAACGAGTTTTTAAGTAGCACGACTCATGGTTTTGCTGCTGCTCTGCGCCCGTGTAGTTGCTATCGAAGGTGATTTACTTCTTTTAAGCGCTTCTGCTGGCATTTGTTTCGTTGTTATACTGTCGGTATATCTCCTGTAAAATAGTTCCCCCTAAAATATATTTGATGAAAGAGGTTTTTTTTTTTATTACAATCCAATATATTTTGTTTGGGACATATGATTTCAGACTAAACACTCCCAACATGTCGCATCTATGGTGGCTTTAAAGGGACATTGCACATATATATTGACGCCAATATTGACGCCAATATTCACGACATGGCACCCATGTTGCAAATATTTGCGCCAATATTTACGCCAATATTCACGACATGGACCCAAGTCGCAAATATTGACACCAATATTGACGCCAATATTCACGACATGGCCTCTATGTCGCAAATATTGACGCCAATATTCACGCCAATATTCACGACACGGCCTCCATGTCGCAAATATTGACGCCAATATTGACGCCAATATTCACGACATGGACCCAAGTCGCAAATATTGACGCCAATATTGACGCAAATATTCACGACAGGCCTAAGTCGCAAACCCACTCATGCGTGAATATTGAAAGGATTGAAGCTTTTTCAAACAAATATGTACTATTTTTTGTTCAAATTTGCTGTTCTCATCAAATCAAATTTACAACAATTTTTGCAGAATTCTGCCAGAAATCTGCCCAAGAAATCCATTCTGTCAATTAAACTTTCTGTCAAACTCTGGTTTTTTTTACAAAAATTATGTCAAAGTTAGCCGAAAATCGGCTAAAACGGTCACCTTGCGTCCAATGTACATGTACATTCATGGCTCGCGCTGCGCCTCACGACGAACGTTCAGCCAGAGATAGGTGTGTCTGGGTGCCAGACTGTGTGGGTAACGGACACCCCAAGTTGCTGTGAAAAAAAAATCACTCATGAGTGCGTTTACAACTTGGGCCTGTCGTGAATTTTGGCGTCAATATTGGCGTCAATATTTGCGACATGGAGGCTATGTCGTGAATATTGGCGTCAATATTTGCGACATGGAGACCATGTCGTGAAAATTGGCGTCAATATTGGCGTCAATATTTGCGACTTGGAGACCATGTCGTGAATATTGGCGTCAATATTGGCGTCAATATTTGCAACATGGAGGCTATATCGGGGGGTTGGGGAGGGGCAACAGGCCATGCCCCCTCCCCTCCCCTCCCCCCCCCCAAAAAAAAACCCACATTTTTTTATTTGAAGCAACTTCGCAGTTAAGGCAGGCACTGTGTACACCATCATTCTGTTCCCTAAAAAAATGGTTAAAGTGGTCAGAAATTGCCTCAGGTCGCACCAAGCGTCACGGAGCATCTACAATCCAACAATTTTCGGCTCCTTCAGCGGGCCCCGAATCCCAAACCGTAGTTTTTACCTAATATTTGGGGGACCAAATTTTGTTTGCCCCCCCCCCAAAAAAATGTGTTCTGGATCTGCCCTTGAATTTACAGCATGTCTATACAAATATAGGAAATGTTATCATGTAACTCTTCTGATCAAGAGAAAAAAAAAGTTTCCTATCATTTCACAATATCACAATTAAATTCCATTGTATGTTCTTTGTTTATTGTTCTGCCTCTGATTTGTTTCTCGCCACTGATTCAACAAGGCGGACCATCCTTTTAAGGTGTCTGCATGTCATCAAAAGTACTTCTAACATTTACATACTTTAAACATCCACGGATTCTGTTTCAGATTTAACTATTTAAAACAATGAACATATTGCATCTGTTTTTCCGGTTAAAAAGTCTTAACTTTAAGACTTTTCGTTAAAAATTCGGCGTCGCTAAAGATCACTACTGCATTGTTCCGTGTTTTGAAACTATTGAAAGTGTTTTTCAAATTATTCGCTGTTAGCTGTTTACCCTAAATGGTTCTCTGCTGTCCAAGCATTGTATTGAAACATCGTCGGTTTCACTTTCACTCAGCTTTTATGTTAACCCTCAATCATTGTGTTGAGATGGAGTTTAAGTTTAAACATGGAGTGTCCTATCTGTTGACACCACGTGATCGTGTTTTCTTTTCATTGTTTCTCAGAACCCGCTGATTTCAACAAGGACGACAAAATTGATGATTTGGACATCGAAGACGATGGACAATTGTAAGCCACATTGTGTATTGTATCAAATCCCTTTTAAATTAATCTGAAATGTTGCAATGTAAATGATTATCAGTAGGTGTTTCATTTCCTCCCCCCCCCCCAACAAAACCCCCATTTAAATGCAGGCCATGTTGCGTGATTTGATCCAGTAGATTTTTTTTTGAGACAACTCTCATGAAGGCTAATTCAAAAACACGCATACAACATATGCGGCCCGCTCCATTTAATGATAACAACATAAGGAAAAAGTACATATTATTGACTAGGAGCTTTGAAATTTCACGTAATTTGCTAGTCCAGGGTCTAGACGTTGTTATTGTTTAATACGCGATAACCCGATGCCGGGATCACCGGCCGACGCGAGAGGGCGCTATTAAGCCCAAGCAATATCATCCACGAACCCGTCAGAAGAACAATTCCTATTGGTTGTGTAAGGCGCACGCACCTGTTTGGCCTTATATATGCAGCGCGCGCGCAATTCAAACATTCATAGTAGTTCCGAAGCAAACTCTCAAATTTATTCCAGTGGTTTAAAAGATGCAGCAAGACTTGTGTGCAATTTCACTGGTCAGCTCTTCTGTGGTGTGTAGTGAGATTTTAGGAAATGTTGTTTACGTTGTTCTGTCGGGTCGTTGGTGATATTGGTTGGTCGTGATAGCGCCCTCTCGCGGCAGCGGGTTATCGCGTATCAAACATTAACAACGACTAGCCCCTAGACTAGTAATAAGCGTACTCTCTTCACAAGTTATTTCTTTTTTAATTAAATGTCACAAAAATCAGCTGTTCACCAATGATCATTTACCATTCAAATATAACAAAAAGGGAGTTTTCCTGCCTTAATGAATAAATGAAAACTTGCATATGAAAACCAGACAAAAATCACCATCGTTATTTCAGAAAAAGGTTTCCTCATATTCAAAATGCAAAATTGGAAAATAAAAATAGTGTTTCAGTCTTGACAAAAGTTAGACGCATTTCTTTGGTAGCTGAATGCCTGTGTGTGATCTGTGGTTTTCACGCAGCTCAGTATCTTCAAATGACATTCCGTGGATTGATGTAAAACTGGATTCATTCAGAAAAAAAATATGATAATAATAATAATGAAAATGTATAAAGCGCACCTATTAAGCCTATTAAAGTTATTGTCCATCATTTGTAATTTGTGCATTTTGTTCGTTTGAAGCAACAATAGTTCTCAAAATCTAAAGAAGGGTACTAAACAACTAACCTGATAAAGTTTCAGCTCAGCTTCAGCTGTATATTCTGAGAAAAACAGCATTCTAGGATCTCAATTTCAAATCAAAACTTGCTGAATCATGTTTTGAATTGCGCCTAAATTCAGCGTCCGAGACACGTTCTCACGGAGCTGAATGCAGCTACGCGATGTCGCGCACTGATCTGACGAATTATAGCAACCGGGAGTGCGTGTGCGTCGTGCCAATGCTTCAGCGCGCTTCGCCGAATAACAAAACGAACTACTAATTTAAATTTTCCTATGGTGCGTCTTAAGAAGCACCGTTGGAAAGGCCTTCTTTCGTTGATTACTTCAAAATGACAGCTTGCCAGAGAGAATAATTTCACAGGGAGTTTAGTCCCCTTACTATCTTTCAACCAAGTATGTTTTTCAACAATAATTACGCCAGCTACTTTTTGGATAGCTGCAAATGATGACCTATAGCTTTAAATCTATTAAGGCGTTCAAGGCGCTATAAATGCATTTAATCCAATTTACTCAGAAAATAAACATTATACCAATAGAGAGAGAGAAAAAGGTACAAATTACAAATAAACAACAGATATGCAGAAATGCAGCTGGTGTCTAGGTGCATTCCTCCCATGTGAAGAACATGAATGTCGGCCTACATCGCCAGGCATCTCCAATTCAGATGAATTCATAAATTTTTTGGCAAATGCACACCGACGCCCACGCCGCTCATGTGATCAGATTGCACCTAGCTCAGGATAACAATAAACGGACTGAATTAAGCAAAAGCCAGAGTCATTAGATGTGTTTTGAGCGATGCTTTGAAGGAGAGAATGGAATCAGATGTCGTAATGTGTATTGGTAGCTGGTTCCACAGGCGAGGTTAATCCGGGTCACTGTCGTTTTGACTGGACCTCGCTTTAATAAAAAAAAAAAAATGGATGAGAGAAGCAACCAATTTGAAATCTGACGGTGACACCAGTCATGCAATTATGTTTAATTGATTATCTTTGCTTTTGTACAGGGAGACGCGCAAACCGCATTACTGTGGCCATAGACTTCTTCGGAAGTATGCAAAGATTTGCCACCATGTAACCTTACACCGGCGCCCGCACCATCTCGCTGCTAATGAGGCCCCATCAGGTATTCTAATCATAATCTCCAAATCAAGAACAGACAAAACAAATAGAAACTCTATTAAATAAGTCCTTCATCCTTTTCAGTAAGGTCAAGTCGTTATTATATCCCTCATATGTAATATAATCAATACAAAAAAATAACACAACAATTTCTGACATCACCTGGTCACAAGTCTGCAGAGGTTCCAAAACTTTCATAATTATGCAAAGGTGACCAAAATAAAAATCTGCACAGCTGGTGAACAAAAAATTAATTGTACTAACTCCGTTTGCCTTTCTGCTTCTTCGTGTGCATTTTCTGGGCCATACCAATAATTATTGAACCTGTGATATGAGGTTTACACTTTAGGTTCGCTACCAATAATTATGCTCAGCATTCTTTTATCAAAATTCAGTGTGTAAGTTTAGCTGTGAACTTTGCCTTTGATATAGGACACTTGATGGACATTTCATGGAGATTTTGCTGAGCAAACTCGTTAACAATTGAAGTTGAAATGTTAACGTTCACATAAAAATAAGAAAACAATATTTATAAAGCGCACGTATCCACCAGGACTTGTGCTCAAGGCGCTACATCATTACCCCTGCTCGTTGGGCCCATGAAACATTCCAAAGACCATCATAGCTCCCTGGGGAGTATGCTCGATGCAGCCTGTTAGGCGCAAGGAAGATTAATCAACCACAATAACCATCTCTGCCCTCACAGGTACCCATTTACTCCTGGGTGGAGAGAAGCAATGAGTGACAAAGTACCTTGCCCAAGGGCATACGCACCATGACCCAGGCAGGACTCGAACCAACAACCTGCAGAATTACCCGCATACCACATATTCAATGCCCTTAACCACGAGGCCACAGTTATTTGTGTAATCTTTTTTTTTTTGGCCCCACCAGCATTTGTGGAATCAGACGAGGCTAACAGCTTCTTGGACAATCGTGGCATTTCAAAGCGAGGCCTTCACGAGGAATGCTGCCACGAGGGATGCAGCAATAGAGAAGTACGCAAACACTGCTAAAGAAAACACCAGAAGTGGATCCGGACCAAACTGACTTCGTGATACCCGAAAAGTGTACTGGTTATGTTTGCATTCGCTCGCATTAAAATTAAATTGGTGGTGGCTTGTTTTTTTATTACAATTTTAATAACTATGAACTGACTTTTTCTTGAGGATTGGCGTATTCTACATTGCCGTTTATTTTGGCTCACGTTTTAATATCCAAATGGTGTTTTTTTGTTCTTTTTGGTCTGGTTGGGGTTATTACAAAATATTACATACGTACTCACACGACAAATTGCCGCCTAAGAAAACAAGCATTGTAAGAAACAAACAATCTATGCTTTACACATTAATTAAAAAAAAATATTAAAGACAATGCAAGTCTTTGGCAAGACTCTCTCTCATGGGTTCAAGCAAATCCAAGCATCATCACTTGATACAGTTTTAACATAAACAAAACTAGAGAGGAACGGGAGTTAAGTTTAGATGTCAATATACGGAGAGCATCATTATGTGGTGACAATTTTGAAAGCATATTCGTATATACCAAGTATGATGGATATCAACATTGTAGTCAGACTCTTATTCTTCATAACACAAATTGAATTATAATTGTTCTTGTTTTTTTTCCTTTAATTGGCTTGGCAATAACCTCAGTTCACTCTATTGGGTTTTACTGAAACAATTCTTGTTCACAACAACTTATTCAGATCAAACTGATCGAGATTATTTTTTCCCTATCTGGTTTTCTTGATTTATCTCACCAGTAACGTGCTTTAATTCTACAAGTAGATGACATTAAAAGTTACATGCAAAGCAGTTAGATTGAGTGAGTGTTTTCTGAATGTCTTGTAGTTGTAAATGTTTATAACTCCGTTAAAGACGAGCGGCTTTTGTCCCGTCTAAGGAGCACAACACAACCAAAAAAAATAAAACAGGAACTATGAAGCAGCAAAAACAAAGCCAACAGCAAGTCAATCAAAAACCATTAAATAAATACAATTATTACATGCATGCTATTTATTGGAAACACTTAAACCAATTTAAAGTTTAAAGCAAGAATACCAGGTTAGCAAGCAATCTAAAACTTTTTGCGAAACACCAAAGTAATAATATCTTTAAAGCAAAGAGAAAATAAAGAAAAACACTCAGCAAATTTCTACGGAGGAAACTTAAGCAAACAGGACACGGATCATTTAGAAAAGAAGCAAATTCAATTATATTTGGCCGACCATATCTACCATAAAGGACCAGTAGGAATAAGACAACACCCAGTCAGTGCGCACAACGATTACAATGCAGCCATCGGGCAAATAACGTGCTTACGGTACTGGATCAACCAAGTCACCAACATCCAGCATCATCCAGGGAAGGTAAGGGAGTCATGTTGAGTACCAGGATTTTTTTTTTCTAGCCCGAGTCTTTGGAGGATTTTTTTTTTTTTAAGGGAAATAAAGTCCGAATTTCATAACGTTCAAAATGACTTTTTTTCCTAATCTTATATTTTCTTCTCATGTTTTTATAAAAGTTAAGTCCAAAACGCCATAGCGTACACCCATATGTGGGTGTCGTTTGGGGGGGGGGAAATCGCGTCCCGCCCCAACCCGAACTTTTTGCTTTGCGGGGGCTTTACGGGGGCTTTACGGGTGTCCGGTGTAAACAAACCTGTGTACCTTTCAGCACGGATGAGAACGAAGCGTGCACATCGGATCGACGTTCCATTCTGATGCATCTGTACCGCCTAGGGTGTATTTATGCACGGACTCTATGGGCAAATGACTCTTCTATGGGCAAATGACTCTTAAGGTGTCTCCGCCAAAGTGACGAAGAGGTGTGATTTAATATTTCGCAATTCAATATCGTCTGACTCGTTTGACATGGTCACCCCTTAAAAATTATTCGAACCCCCCCCCCCCCCGCCACTCTGACACCCGAACAAATTATACTGGTAATAATGTACGCCTGCGCACAAAGTAGGGCAGACCAGCTAGGCTACAGGGGTTCATAACGCCATCAACACATAGTAAAAGGCACATGTAGGAATTATTTTCTAGCTTTGTTGAAAGTGTTGTATTTTCAAGTATCAAATAATATTTTGGTGATATGTAATGACTCTACTTCATTTTTGCAGTGTTGGGCCTTCCATAGTTTTGCAGGCCGTGGTTGGCAAAAATGCAGTTTGCCAACCAAGCGCAGAAAGGTCTATTCTGCAATATTATAATATTCGTCGAATTTGAACAGCGCCCCCATTGAAAGTTTGCCGCGAGCCCCCCCCCCCCCCCCCCATCTCCAAACCTATTGGTTTTACGGAGGCCAAGTGTCCGGACAAAAAAATAACCTTTTTACATTAATTTCAGAATTGATTGCTGATACCCCCCCCCGCCAAAAAACCTGGATCTGCCCCTGTACTATCAACAGCGATGGTCGTCATTGTTCAATTTCAAGACGATACTTTGTCCAGCGGCGTTTTGTAGTCGGCAATATATCGGCAATCAACAACAACGGAGTCTCAATTATCGCAATTTGGTCTCAAAGGTCAGGCCCAAATTGCTGATCGTCGTCTGGTGCTTAACAAAAAAGTTATCCGGAAGACATCGCAATCAATGAGAAACAAGCAACGTTATCACTGCCAAAAACAAATCAGTACCACACTGATCTCGGAATTATTGATCAACAGGACAAACTTAGGCTATATATACCCGAAAAATGACGGAAATATCTTCGAGCATTCCACAACCTCTTTAAATCTTCAATACAATGTATATATGTCCACGCAGTGATCAAAAAATACATTTTACAAAAGCAACACAAATTTGACCTTAAAATTACCTCTGTCATTTCTGTTTTAGCCTCTGAAGAAGAACTTGCTAAGTTCGCAACGTCAGGCCACATTAATTTTAAGATTTATATATTTCAGGTCCATCCAGTCAGTAAGCAGTTTGCAGCAGTTTTACTTTTTTTCATGTTTCAACTTCTCTGTTGCAGTATCCCTTCGTGGTGATCCTCCTTGCTGACATGTAAGTTTCATTGTGTTTTGTTTTGTTCCTTCTTTTGATCGTTTTATACCATGTACTAATCAAACTGTTCTCTCCACACTACAGGTACCTACAATTTTGTTTTGCTCTGTCTCTTCAAAAGGCATGAGCAACTCCATTTGACTTGTATTTTTTGTCTTCGTGTTCCTCCACTGATTTATTGTATTAACCGTTTATTCTTTCCCTTTCTACAGATATGAGTGACACCATTTGCACTTTCCAACAGCTCAGAAAGGCAAAGGAAAAGGCCTTACGCTTTTCCTACCATCAGGATAACTACAGGTTTTACTCCCTCTCTCGATTTATCCCCAAAGGTTTGCAACTGTCTCACACTCCCTGCTTAGGAAACCTCCCACCACACCTTCAAATGAGATGGAATCAAGTTATACATGGTGCCTCTATTAAACTCATCAATATTCTCTCTCAGCAGTGTCAATTTACACGTGAGGACCTCCATCAGAATATTTCCCACCTTGACTCCCAACTCAAATCCAGTTGTTCTGACTCCACGTACAGGAATTTCCATGATGAGATTGAAAGGGGTTTGTCTAACCTTGACTCTGTCCTACTCAACAGGAGAAACAAGAAGATTGGTGGCTTGCTTGCCAAGCAACAGCAACGCAGACACAGACGTTTCAGACGTCCTAGGTCCCCATCTACCACGCCACCGCCAGAACCCCCTGTCAACACTGTAGTTAATCTTTCTTCCTCATTAATATCTGACGCAGAGCACAAACTTCTCTCCAAGGGTCTCAATTTTTGTCCCGCTCCCCGTTCTGTGAACCAGGTTCAGCTCAGCCAAGATCTCACGGAATACTACCGTAGAATCCGTCTGCGTGAGTTTTTCCTGGACAGTGAACCGTGCGAGCCAGAGCCTTTTCGAGTCAAGAGTTCATGGGTATCCCCCAAGAATCGTGTGCCAGCCATAGAGACATACGTTCAAGTTATCAATTCCCAAGTCACTAACCCGGACAACTTCCCCCACAGGACTCATGATAATCTCCCCAGAGAGGAGCGCCTGGCTCTCAACTCCTTGCGCTCTCGCACCGACATCATCATCAAGCCAGCAGATAAAGGTTCAGCTGTGGTCATCATGGATCGTCAGAGGTACATTGATGAGGCCCATCGCCAGTTGGATAATCGCAATAACTATACCCGCCTTGACTCTGACCCCACAGGCACTTTCTGTCGAGATATACAACAGGTACTTGACGATATGCGATCACGTGACCAGTTGTCCAAGAAAGCTCACAAATTTCTTTCTCCCTGTGATTGTAGGACTGCCAGATTTTACCTTCTACCCAAGATTCACAAGGCTGGCAACCCCGGTAGACCCATCATCTCCGGTAATGGCTCACCCACGGAACGCATCTCCCTGTTCATTGACAGTTTTCTCAAACCCCCCTTGTCCCACAGATTTCGTCATGCATTCACGACACCCCAGACTTCCTCCGCAAGCTTGAAGGAATCAAGGACCAGATTCCCAGCACAGCCATCATTGGGACTTTCGACGTCTCATCTCTGTACACCAACATCCCACATGAGGAGGGTGTTCGTGCTTGCTCCTTGGCTCTGGCCAAGGCAGGACACACGACTCCTCCCATCAGTGATGTTGGCACCCTCATGAGACTTATACTAACGAAGAACAATTTTTCCTTCCTTGGTGAACACTTTCTACAGGTACACGGCACTGCAATGGGCACTCGCATGGCCCCGTCGATGGCTTGCCTCTTCATGGGCGACCTCGAAGAACGCATTCTTGCCTCGGCCCCATGTCGCCCTTGGATCTGGTGGAGATATATTGATGATGTTTTTTTCATCTGGACCAGTGATGAGGACAGTCTCTTGACCTTCACTAACCACATCAATTCCTTCCACAGAACCATCAAATTCACATCGGAATTCTCGGCTCACCAAACCCACTTTCTGGATGTCACCGTCCGCAAGCAAGGCAATTCACTATCCACTGACCTGTATTCCAAACCCATAGACACCCACCAGTACCTCCACTCCTCCAGCTGTCACCCCAGGCACTGCAAAACTGGCATAGCGTTTAGCCAGGCACTCAGACTCAGAAGAATTTGTTCTAATGATTCCGATTTCTCCCGCCATACATAGATACTGAGGAACAACTTGGTGGCCAGGGGTCACAGCTCTCGCCAAGTTCATCGTGCCATTGCCAGAGCTAAAGCTATCCCCACAAATCTAGCTCTCACGGGAAAGGCCCCTGATGCCATGGCCAAACCCATGATTCTCTTGGTTACCACGTTTCACCCCAATCTCCCTCCCCTTCGCAAAATCACTAATGACAATCATCATATCCTCCATACTTCAGATCGCCTTGCTCGCGCCATCCCCAACGGCCCCACATTGACTTACAGGCGTCCTTGAAATCTACTGGACTTGATTGTTCGAGCTGAAGTCCCATCCTTAGTTGCATCCCCTCCCACCCTGCATGGTACTTTCAAGTGCAGTTCCAGATGTGTTGTCTGCCAGATTCATATCCAGGAGTCTGATTCCTTTTCTGACCACTCTTCTATCACTACCCACAGAACCATTGGTAACATCACTTGTAACACCTCTAATGTCATATATCTCATTTCTTGCAGGGTCTGTGGAGTGCAGTATGTAGGTGAGACTAAGAATACGCTCAAGAAGCGTTTCTATGCCCACCGGTCATCGGTCAACACCAAGAAACTAGACACCCCTGTTGGTCATTACTTCAACCTGCCTAACCACTCCATTTCTGATATGATTTTGCAGGGCATTGAATCTTATGGCCAT